CAGCACCTGAACAACCAATCGGCAAATACTTTCTGAGCATCTACTTTGTGCGAGGCAGTAAGGAAGGGACCCAATTCCCAGGAACTTACAGTCTTCAGAAATCGAGCACATTTACAGGAGCAATAAACAAGGCAACAGCTTTGAACTCACCCTAACTTTTTAAATGGCTTTTAAGCAGATACCAATAAAAATATGGTTAATTAGGAAGTTGCTTAAAATATTGCCATAGAGTCCCATGGTGAAAATGTGTGTGATTTGGCTTTTCTTCAAGGTTTTATAATGTCAAATACTTTTTTAGTCAAAAGATAAGGTAAGATAGTGGAGGTCGATTGGAGGAAAGTGTTCACATTTCCACCTTGCATAAGTTTTCATAGTAGTAATATAAAAATATACCAGCCTGGTTTAGATTCCCCTTAGCTTTAAAAATCAGTCTTACTAAAATCAGCTGCAAAATTAAAAATGAAGGTATCACAAATAAGACCCGAGACACAGCTTTTCTAACCCGGTTATATGCTGAACTTGACATATTACCTGGATATCACTTCACCCATCTCCTAGTAAACCTGCCTAACTAACCAAACATGAAATGAGTTTATTAAAGGCTTAATGAGGTTAATTAATTAGCACTTAAAACATTCAGGGTAGGCCGGGCGGGGTGGCTCACGCCTGTAATCCTAGCACTCTGGGAGGCCGAGGCGGGTGGATCGCTCGAGGTCAGGAGTTCAAAACCAGCCTGAGCAAGAGCGAGACCCCGTCTCTACTATAAATAAAAAGAAATTAATTGGCCAACTAATATATATACAAAAAATTAGCCGGGCATGGTGGCGCATGCCTGTAGTCCCAGCTACTCAGGAGGCTGAGGCAGAAGGATTGCTTGAGCCCAGGAGTTTGAGGTTGCTGTGAGCTAGGCTGATGCCATGGCACTCACTCTAGCCTGGGTGACAAAGTGAGACTCTGTCTCAAAAAAAAAAAAAAAAAATTCAGGGTAAAAATAATTATTCCTGATTGTGGTGGCTGTTCCATAAGTCTACAGATGTGACAAAATGGCATGGCACCATATACACACATTGTACATATGTTATTTGTATTGGTTTAGATCATGTACCCTGATTATGTAAGATGTAACCACTGAGGGCTACTAGGTAAAGGATACCTGGGACCTCTCTGTACTGTTTTTGTAACTTCTTGTGAGTCTATAGTTATTTTAAGATAAATAGTTTTTATTTCAAAATATTAAGGGGGTACAAATGGTATTGTTATATGGATACACTGTACAATGCTAACGTCAGCACTTTCTGTGTGCCTGTCACCTGGACAGTTCATTGCACTTGATATATAAGTTTTTCTCTCTCATCCTCCTCCCCTTTTCCCCCTTCCTAGTCCTTTAAGTCTCTTTGTGCCTGGGTATATCCATCATTTAGCTGTCACTTCTAAGTGAGAGCATGTCATATTTGTTTTTCCACTCCTGAGATAATTCACTTAGGATAAGGGACTTCGGTTCCATCCAAGTTGCTGCAAAAGACACTATTTCATTCCTTTTTATGGCTCAGTAGTACTCCACGGAAGTAGGCAAATGGCCAAAAAAAAAAAAAAAATGAAAATATGCTCAACATCACTACTCATCAGGGAAATGGAAATTATAACCACAATGAGATACAACCTTACTCTTGTCAGAATGACCATTATTAGAAAAAAAAAAAAAAAAACAGATGCTGGTATGGATGCAGAGAGAAAGGAATGCTTATACACTGTTGGTGGGACTGCAAACTAGTACCACCAATGGAAAACAGTATGGAGATTACTCAAAGAATGAAAAGTAGACCTCCCATTCAATCCAGCAATCCCACTACTGGGTATCTACCCAAAGGAAAAGAAATCATTTTTATCAAAAAGCCATCTGCACTCAAATGTTTATTGCAGCACAATTCACAATTGCAAAGATCTGGAATCAACCTAAGTGCATTTTGACTCTTTGATGGGATATAAAGTCACAAAAATATATTTGAACCATGGCAAAGTATGCATTTGAAACATGGTGGAAAACACCTTCTACAAACATGGAACATGGATATATGCTATGAGTCTCCTCCTCACTGACAGGGGAGCTTCCTGATTTCTGACCAAGTCCCTACAAACCAACTACCTTGGGGAAAAGAGGCAACTGCCCAGCTGCTTTGCATAAAGTGAGCTTTTGAATGAATCACCCGTGAACTAAATATGTCAATCAAAAGGCATGAAGCAAGTGCTCAGTTAACATCAGCATCATTATTTATGTTGCTTTAATTCTTCGTTTTGCTTTGTTCATCACACTCAGCTCACTCTGAGGAGATTTCTGAATGGCTCTCTCTCTGTAATATTTCTAAGTAAGGTTTTTTTAAAAAGGGGTTTTAATTTAAAATAATGATAGACTCACAAGAAGTTGCAGAAATAATACAGAGAAATTCCACGTACCCTTCATCCAGCTTCCCCCAAAGACAACACAATTCTCATGCTAAGAAACTGACAGTGGTAATTCAGACATTATTTGGATTTCACCAGTTTTTTTTTTTTTTTTTTTTGAACGAGTCTCACTTGTTTGTCCCAGGCTAGAGTGAGTGCGTGGCGTCAGCCTAGCTCACAGCAACCTCAAACTCCTGGGCTCAAGCGATCCTCCTGCCTCAGCCTCCCGAGTAGCTGGGACTACAGGCATGCGCCACCATGCCCGGCTAATTTTTTTTTTTATATACATCAGTTGGCCAATTAATTTCTTTCTATTTTATAGTAGAGACGGGTCTCACTCTTGCTCAGCTGTTTTGAACTCCTGACCTTGAGCAATCCGCCCGCCTCGGCCTCCCAAGAGCTAGGATTACAGGCGTGAGCCACAGCGCCCGGCCTGGATTTCACCAGTTTTTACATGCATGTATTTCTATGTAATTATATCACATGTGTAGATTCATATAACTACCATGACAATCAAGACAAGAAACTGCACCCTTATCCTCAAAGACACATCATCATTCTTTATAGTCAGATGTCCCACCCACCATTTCCCTAACTCCTGACAATCAGTAATCCATTCTCCATCTCTGTAATCACGTCATTTTGAGAATGATACATTATAGAACCTGTATTTATATATAAACAGAATCATACAGTATATAACCTTTGGATGTTGTCTTTTTCCCCCTACTCAGCCTAATGCCCTTGAGATCCATCCGAGTTGCTGGGTATATCAATTGTTTGCTCTTTTTTATTCTGGACTAGTACTCCCTGCAAATAACACTTTACCAAGGGGATCTGGGAATTCATGCATAAGGAAGAAGAGTTCCCTTCATTTTATTTAAAAAGGTATAATTGGCCGGGCGCGGTGGCTCACGCCTGTAATCCTAGCACTCTGGGAGGCCAAGGTGGGAGGATCGCTCAATGTCAGGAGTTTGAAACCAGCCTGAGCAAGAGTGAGACCCCGTCTCTACTAAAAATAGAAAGAAATTAATTGGGCAACTAAAAATATATTTAAAAAATTAGCCGGGCATGGTGGCACCTGTAGTCCCAGCTACTCAGGAGGCTGAGGCAGGAGGATTGCTTAAGCCCAGGAGTTTGAGGTTGCTGTGAGCTAGGCTGACGCCACGGCACTCACTCTAGCCTGGGCAACAAAGCGAGACTCTGTCTCAAAAAATAAATAAATAAAATAAAAACGTATAACTATGTGTAGATAAATATGCATGTTTACCTCCATGTAAATTTCATAGAGCCATGACAATAAAAAATAGCACATGTGACCTTGCGTGAAGACAGGCCCACCTGTCACCTTTCCTCTGCAGGACCTTTCACAAAGCAAATACTCCTGTCTACCAATCAACTGAATTATTTTCTCTCCGTGAATCGTGCTTCCTAGAGTTAGCATTTTGGGATCCAAGGCAGCAGTGGCAAGTAAAACCAGGACCTTCCTCTGGGCCTGCAAATACGTTTTGGTCCAGGACAGTGCCATTGGGAGTTACCAGTTGCCAAGGTGATGGAACTCGGTGCTATAGAAATGGATAATTGACTGAATGGATCGATGACAAGCTGTAGCTAGAGTTTCTTCATGGTGCCCGAGGCTTCTGTGAACGGCTACTAAATTATTCTACCTCCATACAGAAATGTCTCTGCAACCTTTTCGGCTGTCTAGAGAAGGAGAAACAGTCCTTCAACACATAGTGTTTTCTAGACAACACATGAGATGGTTAGGCTGACAAAACTCAGGAAAAAATAAAATGTCCTTGCACGTCTTTCTGCTTATAATTAACTCCTGGAAAAAAGGCAATAAGTTTGAAATTCAAATTCTGTCTTCCATCTCCCTAGGAGTGCTTTTCCAGGATCAACCTGACAATGACAACAGCTCAGTTTTAGCTTCTTAAAGTGATCATTACCCGGGACCATTTGGGGTTACTGCATTTATAAAGTAAACACAGGCTATCTGGGATAAATGAGAAAATGCATTGATACGAATGATCTTAATGCACAGGGCAATTATTGCCTACAATTTCCTTCAACCTGAGGTCACCATATATTATGTAAGGTTCTGCCCGCGCTGTCTGACCCAGCAGCCGCTAGCCACATGTGGCTATTTACATTCATGAAAATTCAGTAAAATTTGAAATTCAGTTCCCTAGCCACACTGGCCACCGTTCAAGCACTTGGTAGTCACATGTGGCCTGTGGCTGCCACACTGAACAGCACTCACAGAGACCATTTTTTGTCATCACAGAGTGTTGTACTGCATAGAGCACACTGTTTTAGACCCATCTGAAATGAACGGGGAACACTCCACACTTTGGTTCTAAACGATCACACTTCCCCCAACCAACAAAAGGGAGGCATCTACTTGATCAGCTTAAATACAAATTTTCGCCAAATAAATTCAGGTCTTATCCATGAGCCTATCGGATCTTTCTCCAGGGCTACTGGAAGCCTAGCGTTACTGTCATTTAGATGGCTCCTGGTAGCAGAAAAGTCACCTTCAAGGGTTCAAGCCGCATTACCTTGGATTCCATCGTGCATGGAGAGCGAGCAGGGCCGTTAACAACTATTCCACTTGAGCCATTCAAAACTTGCTTCCCACAGCCTGATGGTCCCGCAGCTCATGACACTCGGGGACAGGTAGGAGGCGATTCTAGCTCGCTGGGTGGAGCCGAGTTAATAATTCACGGTGGGAGGCAGAGACTGCATCTCATGGCTGCCTACCTGTGGGCACATGGGGCCATTTCGGAGCGATAAGATCTGGAAACCGGACCTTGAGATTACATTACAGCCACTGCTGATCTTTGATTAGTCACTTACGCTCCTGACCAGTCACTGACTATTCACATAAAGGCAGGATGCTCAGTGAGAACTATTTTCCATTGATAGAAAATAAAAATTCTCCCAACCTCTTAGCCCAGCTCCAAGCTCTGTGAACTCCCATTGGAATCACCTCCTGGCTCTGTTTGCAAAACTCTACATTGTCAAACTGCAGGGAATCAAGTTGACTGGGCAACTTCACGGTTTATATCAATAATACAGAGACTCTAGTCTTCCCCAGACTTCCTTTATTTTCATTTATTTTTTTTTTTCACATGCAAAAGGAATGCACGGGTGCTAGCTCCTCGTTAAGGAAGTGACAAGGTTGTAGACACTGGAGGTGGCTCAGTTACAACTGCCTTTACCGTGTGGCTGAGAATTCACTCCCTTCCAGGTCTGGACCTCATGGTATGTTTATACAGCTATATTCTTTTGCTTTGCAAGACCCCCTACGCCTCACCCATCAAAGTGTGTAAGCCACATGCCCCCAGACCTGAGCCCCTTGCTACAATAGGGTCATGGCCAAAAGCAGGGACCAAGGAGTCAGTGCTGGGTTCGTTTGTACTCCCAACGGCACTCCTTATTGGATGTAGGAACTGTGGGTGAGTGACTCACCCCTTGGGCCTCAGTTTCCTGACCTGCAAAACTCGCGAGGATTATAGTACCACCGCCCCAGGTTGTTACCAGGATTTAATACATAGAAAGCACTAGAAAGGGTACCCAACACCAGGGGAACCCACTAAATGGTAGCTCCTAATCCATTATGATCTTGCTGTGTTTCCTTCCAGACCTTTCTATGTATGGCCATGCCTGGATATGCACCCTTAACAAATACACAGAATTGCCTTAACGTGTAGGGGTGTGATCATATGTGGACATTTATGTGCATATATCATGTGCTGTATAAAGTTCTGCAAATTAGTTTTTTCACTCAATGATACAGCTTGGGATTTTGTCATTTCGGTGTATACCAGGCTTTGCGCTAGATCAACTAGTGTTTAAAATCTTAACATGCACATGCGCTAGAAGGAAACAGCTAACAGCTATGCAATATATCAACCCTTGATGTTTGCAATATGATACAAATTTCTGCACATTCCCTGTCTTATAAAATAATCAGTGGATCTTAGCCCTGGTGACACGGTAGAATCAAACAGGAACTGATGCCCAAGTCCCCATGGGTCAGATATCATTTATCTGGGATGATGCCTGGGCACTGGGGTTTTTATTTTAATTTTAATTTTTTTAGAGACAAGTTCTCACTCTTTCACCCAAGCTGGAGTGCAGCAGCACGATCATGGCTCACTGCAGCCTCAAACTCCTGAGCTCAAGCGATCCTCCTGCCTCAGCCTCCCTAAGTGCTAGGATTACAGGTGTGAGCCACTGGCCCAGCCATGCACTAGAATGTTTAAAAGCTTCCCAGGGGATCCAAAAATGCAGCCAGGTCTGAGGGCACCTGCTCTAGAGAGAGTTGTAAAATAAAGAAGCAGAACAAGAAGCTACAAGAAACAAGTCTGTGACTTTCATATCCTGGACTGCCCCATGTACCAGGTAAGCGTTGAACAACTGACAACAAATAGTTATGGTTCGCAATCCGAGAGGCTGTGTTCGATTATTAAAATGGGCACTTCGGTCCCCAGGTTCTGTCACCAAATCGGCTGCCCCTGGATAGAACAAAAAGGCAGAGGCCCTTCTCTTCTGAGCTGGGACACCCATCGTCTCCTGCCCTTGGACATGAGAACTGCACATTCTCCGGCTTTCAGACTCTGAGACTTACATCACTGGCTCCCAGGTTTTGACAACTTTGGACTTGAACTGAGCTATGCAACTGGCTTCCCGGGTGCTCCAACTTGCAGTGGGACTTCTTCCTCAGCCTCCATAATTGTGTGAGCCAATTCCTCTACTAAATCCTGTCTGTCTGTCTGTCTCTCTCTCTCCCTATATATAACCAGAGAAGCCCCTAATATAATCCCTGATTGACAAGAGCAAGGAGATGCCTGTAATTCTTTGGACGCTAATTTTTAATCAGTTGATTTGCAAATAATCCTGTTTTTTATAATACGTAATACAATATATCACTGATTTGGTTACAAAGGGAAAACCAGAAATATCAATTATATTGGCAACATTTTATCTTTTCACATGGTGATGGGTTCTTTGGTGAATCATTCACCTGATAAAGTATTTTGTATTGTGTTAAGCACTGGGGATACAGCAGTGAACAAGGAAGATAAAATGATTTTTATATAATTCTTTATATCTTTTTGTACATCTAAAATACATATTTTAATTGAAATATAATTCACATATAACATAAAATTCACTTTTTTAAATTTTATTATTGTTTTTGAGACAGAGTCTCACTCTCTTGCCCGGGCTAGAGTGCTGTGGCGTCAGCCTAGCTCACAGCAACCTCAAACTCCTGGGCTCAAGAAATCCTCCTGCCTCAGCCTCCCAAATAGCTGGGTCTACAGGCATACACCACTATGCCTGGCTACTTTTTTCTATATATTTTTAGTTGTCCAATTAATTTCTTTCTATTTTTAGTAGAGACAGGGTCTCGCTCTTGCTCAGGCTGGTTTCAAACTCTTGAGCTCAAGCGATCCTCCTGCCTTGGCCTCCCAGAGTGCTAGGATTACAGGTGTGAGCCACCACGCCTGGCCCCAAATTCACCATTTAAAGTATACAATGCAGTAGTTGTTTGGTACAGTTGTCCCTTAGTATCCATAGGGGATTGGTTTCAGGACCTCCTGAAGATACCAAAATCTGCAAATGCTCAAGTCCCTGATATAAAGTGACGTGATATTTGCACATAACTTATGCACATCCTCTGGTACACTTTAAATCATCTCTAAATTACTTACGATATCTCATACAATGTGAATGCTATGTAAATAGTTGCTTAGGGAATAATGACAAGGGTAAACGTCTGTAAGTATTCAGTGCAGACACAATTTTTTTCCCCGGAATATTTCGATCTGAGGTTGGTTGAATCCATGGATGCAGAGCCCATAGATACAGAGTATGTGCAATCACCACCATTTCCTAATTCCAGAACATTCGTATGACCTTAAAAAAGAAATCCTATATCCATTATCCACAACTTTCTGTTTTCCCCACCCCAAGTCCTGGAAACCACTAATCTACTTTCTGTCTCTATAGATTTGCCTATTACGGACATTTCTTATAAATGGAATCATATAATATGTGACTTTTTGTGACTGCCTTTCACTTAGCATGATGTTTTCAAGGTTTACCCATGTTAAAGCATGTGTCAGTACTTCATTTGTATTGTCACACAATTTCCTTTGTATGGATATATGGATATACTACATTTGTTTATCCACTCATCAACTGAGAGACATTGAATTGTTTCCACTTTTTAAAAAAATTATCATTTGAATTTCTTTAATCCTTCCTCTCCCCTCTTTTGTCTTCTCTCCTCTTCCCCCCATTTTTGCATTGTTGATTTTTTTCTAATTTATTTGTAAGAGCTCTTTATATCTTAAGGCAATTTGTCTTTTGTCATGTGTTGCAAATAATCACCCCAGTTTGTTTCTTATTCTTTCACATTTAGGATTTTTCAAAATTTGTTTTAATTTGTACATAGCTCGGTCTTGTTAGAAGTTTTTTTCTCAATGGTTTCTAGATTATAATTTTGCTTCTCAAGACCTTTGTCCTTCAAGTATTCTATGAAGCCATAAGGTGCTATGAACAAACAATTCTTTTGTGGAAAAATATAAAAGATTTTGAAAGTCTTTTGTAAACCTGAGCATCATGACAGTAACACTATTATCTCCCACAAGAAGACAAAGTTTCCTCCAATTCACTTCAAGAAATAAGGGAAGGCTATAGGGTACAAAGGCTAAGAATTCTGGAATCCAACAAGCTGGGTGTGAGGTCTGTCTCTACCACCTTGTGGCTCAATGGCTTTGGGAAAGTGTCCGAATTCTGCCAAGCCTCAGTTTTTATATCTGTAAAATGGGGGCAAGTGATATTCCCTTCTTCATAGGGTTGTCTCTGGATTAAATGAGGTAGATAATTAACCCATGAGCCCAGCACAATACTTGGCTCATCAGAAACCCGCTAAGTGGAAGTGGGGTGATGTCGGTTACTCCCATTTTTTAAGCAACTACTACACAGGAGGCAGGAGACAGAAAAACACCCATGCAGGAGCATAAAATGCAACATGAGGGGCTGAGAAAAGAATCCAAGTAAACAGCATTCCAGGCCCAGAGAAAGAAATGAGCAAAGTGCTTGCTCTCAGGATGTAAGACCCATTTGGAGCCTTCATGTGGGAGGGGATATTTGAGCTGGTCCCTGAATGATGAGGTAGGAAATGCTTTACAGGCAAAGGGAACTAAAAAATTGGCAGAAAAAAAAAAATCAGCAAATGTTTAGATTTGAGTACAGAGTGCCTAGAAGCAAGTGGTTGGCTAGTCTGCTGTGGTCCTCTGTAAGGTCTTTTGAGGACAGAAAATACTTTCTTTTCTCTTGATTTCATGTTGCAAACAGCAAGGACTTCATGTGGCATGCTCCCCTTTCTTTTAGGGATAGAACTCTTCCCCAACTGTTAGCCAGGCACATGGCTGCCCAGCTAGAAACTACATTTCCCAGCCTCCCTCAGAGTCAGGTGTGGCCATGTGACTCAGTTCTCACCAATGGAACACGAGCAGAGTGATAAGTGCACATTCTGCATCTCTTTCCTTAAAAAGAAATTGTTTGGCCTCTACCCCCTCATTTTCCCCTTATGGGCTAGGGGCACCTGGTGGTAAGTGGCATTGACCAGGCAGAGGAGGACAGCCCTAGGAGATGGCAGAGAAACAAAATGGAAGAAACCTGGGTTCCTAGATAGCCGTGTAGAACATGGACAGGTACTGACACAGGGCTACTCACCTACCACACAACTCTCATGGGAGAAGGAAATAGCTTCTATCTTCTTTGAGGCTTTGCCTTTTGGGGTCTCTGTTTCAGTAGCTTAGCCTAAACCCTAATTTACATACTAAGCAAATGCTGCCAATTCTAGATTCATATGTCAGGCCTTAGGAGATTGTTTTCTATGACCAACTTCAGTTAATTAAGATTTAAATGGGGTTGGGAAAAGCTCGAGTCTCTCACCCAGGTAAATAATAACCAAGTTGGATTGGGATTCACAATCCTTAGAGAGATCATTCACTCATTCCTTTCCTTGGCATTTATTAAATCTCATGGGCATATCTCCTCTGGTTTACTAGAATGTACTACCCAGAAAGATGAATCACGAATATATGATTTAAGGAAAGGGTTAAACAAGAGAAAGGTGACATGTCTCTACTTTATATGACACGCACTGAAAGAGTTCATGGAGCAGTAGGGGAAATGGCCTGAGTCCAGCAGGCTACATGGAGGAGGACCTTGTGGAAAAGGGGAATTTTGAACCTGGTCTTTGAGGCGGGGATGATGAAAATGAAGACGTAGGCATAGAAATCCAAGGAAACACAAAACCCAAGGGAAAAAGTACATCAGTGACTTAGAAGGATGCAAAAGGGATCAGGATATGCCACCCCAAAATATGCCACTTTGGGCCAGGCGTGGTGGCTCACGCCTGTAATCCTAGCACTCTGGGAGGCCGAGGTGGGAAGACTGCTCGAGGTCAGGAGTTCGAAACCAGCCTGAGCGAGACCCCGTCTCTACTAAAAATAGAAAGAAGTTAATTGACCAACTAAATATATATATAGAAAAAATTAGCCGGGCATGGTGGCGCATGCCTGTAGTCCCAGCTACTGAAGAGGCTGAGGCAAGAGGATTGCTTGATCCCAGGAGATTGAGGTTGCTGTGAGCTAAGCTGATGCCACGGCACTCATTTTAGCCTGGGCAACAAAGTGAGACTCTGTCTCAAAATATATATATATATATATACACACACACACACACACACACACACACACACACACACACACATACATATGTGTGTGTGTGTGCATAGATATATGCCACTTTGGTATATTGCTTATTTTGAATGGAGGACAATTGAAAAACAGTAGATGCAAGAAGAACTCTCTGCCCCTCCCCCTTTCTGCCTAAAAGCAAGGAATAAAGTTTCCTCCTCCTCTGTACCAGGATGAACAGAGCAAACCTTATCACCAGAGATGGAGAATCAGAACCAAGATGAGTCTGCACAAATGAAGCTTACTAAAATTATACTTATCTTCCATTCATTTCCCCCACATCCATAATTTAATCACCCTTTATTAGAATAAAATAGTATATAAGCTCCCAAGTTTAACCACCACTTTGGGTTTTCACTTCTTTTGTCTGAAGCCCTAATGCATCAATCAAAACTGTATGCCTTCTCTCCTGTTAATCTTTTGTCAGTTTAATTTGCAGGCCCCAATAACAGAACTTAAGAGAATAGAGGAAAGCTTTTTCCTCCCCTTCATACAATAAATGGAATGCTTAGCTGAACTGGGCAGTCATATTGGAAAATACAAGAGATGAGACTCAAAACATTTGGGACATTTGATGGAAGAATTTGAACGTGAGACTGAGTATAGAAGAATATTGTTTATCTGGGACCCTAAATGCCAGAAGCTTCCAAGCAATAAGAGTATTATAAAGGGAATTTTAAGTGATCATTGTTTTAAATATCATGTCATTGCTGAAACTGAAGGATGATTTCATAGTTGGTGTGCGGTGACGATACGACCTACTAAACATGAGATGGCCAGCTAGGGAGGTCACAGAAACTCAATCCCTGTGACACAGACATGGCTTGGGGGATCTTAAAAGACTTCCACAATGAGTTCACAGCTGCCTGTCATCCTCATACACATTGTGCCTTCCCTTATTTGTTCATATGTTTTGGTGGGTCACAGCACTGAATTCTATCAGTGCCAATGGTACTACACACAAAATAGGTTTTCCTCTTCTGATCATTAAGCTGTTCTTAGAGAGAGAGAGAGAAAAAGAAGAAGAATCTAAACTCCAGAAATACTGTTAACCAGCAACAGAATAATAACCTACTGTGTTTAAATATGATGTGGCATTTATAATGCTTAGCAGTTAGCATTCCATTGTAAATGTTCTGGCATAGGTTACAGAAACCCACAGACTAGCGGAAGCAAAGGGACATTATTTATTATCAACACAAAGGCATGTGTGATGGGCTCCAACAGTAGATTCAAGATAAACCGGACAGGAGCTAGCAAGGTCTCAGCAGGCAGGATGGGCATTTTTTTCTTTTTTCTTTTTTTTTTTTTAAGAGATGGGGTATTACTATGTTTCCCAGGCTGGTCTCAAACTCTTGACCTCCAGCAATCCTCCCATTTCAGCCTCCCAAGTAGCTGGGATTCCATGTACATAGTCAGAATAGGCATTCTTGCAGCTCCTCGCTGGCACTACAGTCTCTTGTTTCTGCTTCTTGCTTCACACCCCTTTCACGATCTCTCTGCAGTGCAGACTGGCTTTTTCCAAGCACATTCTAGAAGGCGCTGCTGCTATCTTGCACCCGGCAACCAACAGAGACTGACTGGCTACACTGAGTCCCAAGGCCGCACTGTGAGAGGAAGAATCAGATTGGCCCGGCTGTGGTCACATGGCCACCCACCGTCCAATCAGCCACGGGCCAGGAGTGCAGGCGGAAGACGACAGTCCAGGAAGCTGTTCTCCCCACTTCCTGCAAGTGGGGAGGGCAGCTTGCAGAGAGGGGCCTGCAAAGGTGGCTGATCGGAGTCCCAAAAAAGGTGCTGGGTGTTACTCATGTTGCGCTGTAACACCTTCCGTTCTGTGAATTTCTGTAGTTTATTGGAATCTCACTTACTCCCCCGCCCGAATTGCAGACTTCCTCTGAACAAGAATATGGACTCACTGTTTGTTTTTACTCCTACTCGACACCTTCCAGCGGTCAAGGGAGGCCTGGGCCGCTCGCGTTTTGACATTTCGGGTCGTGCAAAGCACGAAGCAATGCCCAAAGCAGGAGCATCATCGTATCTCCTCTGCCACAGACAACATAACATGGGGCTGGGAGACTTTGCCTCTTGCAACTGACAATCTTTTTGTTTTTGTTTATTAATGATATTTTACTGGTGACAAAAGACCTTTAAAACAAACGGACCAAGAATCGGAAGTTACGTTGCCTTGTGCAGATGCTCCTGGGTTTATAAGACTGAGTGACCGTCGCTGAAGGTGGAGGACACAGCGAACCGCAGAGGCAAAGCGTCCCGACCCGATGGGCGGGCGGGCGGGCGGGCACAGGGTCACAGGGGAAAGCCCCCACATCTGTGCCTCTAGATGGCTACCAGAAGAGGAGGAAACCGAAAGCCCTACGGCAGTGGCAATACATAAGTCTTTGCTGGGAGGAAGGTGGCCTGTGCGTCCCCACCTGCCCCGTGTAGAAGCTGGAATCTGGGGGCTTTGGGACGGGGAGACTGGGAGGTGGGTCACTAGGGATGGACACCCCAACCCGCGGTGTGCAAGGATCTGGGGCGACTCTCATGAGTAAAGAGCAGATCCAGGCAGAGGTCTCCTCTGCCAACCAACGGCCCAACTGACAGTCTTAATGAACCCAAATGGAGTTCCAGAGGATACAGTAGCAGGGGTTGGAAGGGAGGCAAGGTGGCAAGATGGACTGAGGAGTGAGGAAGAAGGAATGGGCAAGATAGAGAAGGGTCTAGGTAACTGGAGGAGGGTTTCTTTGGGGCTTGGGATGGACAAAGAGAAGTCAAAATAAAAGACATGAGACAACATCAAGAGAGAGTGAAATGGAGTCACATAAGAGTCAGGGAACATTGACTGCTGTTTCACTTAGAGGTTTTACAAATTAAGAAGATTGCAGAAGAAATGATGATGTGCCTTGAAAACCTAAGAGAAACCATATAAAAACCCTTACAACTAATGACCGAGCTCAGCAGAGTGGCTGAATACAAGATAAATACATAAAACAATATTTACATTGATTTTCTAACGTTAAATGGGAAGATAACCTTATCTACATAGGCAATAAAAATATCTAGCGCTGACATTAAAAGGAAATTCATAGGAGCTTTTTAAAGAAAGATACAAAACTTTACTAAGACAAATGTGATATTTTGTTTATTCCGTACAAGAAAAGGCATTTAGGCTGGGCATGGTGGCTCACACCTGTAATCCTAGCACTCTGGGAGGCCAAGGTGGGAGGATTGCTCGAGGTCAGGAGTTTGAGAACAGCCTGAGTAAGAGTGAGACCCTGTCTCTACTAAAAATAGAAAGAAATTATCTGGACAACTAAAAACATATATAGAAAAAATTAGCTGGGCACAGTGGTGCATGCCCATCGTCCCAGCCACTCAGGAGGCTGAGGCAAGAGCTTCAACATTAAAATGTGGCTTCAACATTACTGTTGGAAAGACTGAATATCGTAAGGATGTGAATTACTCCCTAGTCAATATTTACATAGATTTAATGCGATGCCAATTCATAGATCAATGCATTTTTTTAAAATTGGCAAAATATTACCAGGTTTTTGAAAAAATAAACAGATGATAATAGCTAAGAAAAAAGATTATGCTTGAGGGGGGATTTGTCCTACCAAGGTACTAACACATACTGTAGAGCTATAATTGTTCCATAAGGTTGCACAACGCTATGTTAAAAACTGTTGAACTGTACAAGTTAAAGTGGGGAATTATATGGTGTGTAAATTGGACACTGACTGCAACTGATAATGAGAGGCTGATACCAAGCGATGAGTCTTACACCAGGGTGAGGCAGGTACTAAATGTCCTTTCTTTCTCTCTCTCTTTCTCTCTCTCTCTCTTTCTCTCTTTCTTTTTTTTTTGACAGAGTCTTTCTCTGTTACCCAGGCTAGAGTGCCGTGGCATCAGCCTAGCTCACAGCAACCTCAAACTCCTGGGCTCAAGCAATCCTCTTGCCTCAGCCTCCTGAGTGGCTGGGACTATGGGCATGCACCACTGTGCCCAGCTAACTTTCTCTATATATGTTTTTAGTTGTCCAGATAATTTCTTTCTATTTTTAATAGAGACAGGGTCTCACTCTTGCTCAGGCTGTTCTCAAACTCCTGACCTCGAGCGATCCTCCCACCTTGGCCTCCCAGAGTGCTAGGATTACAGGCATGAACCACCACGCCCAGCCTAAATGCCTTTTCTTGTACAGATGGTGTAAACAGTCAAAATGAGCCCAGAGAGGCCAGGTACGATGTCTATATACGCCATCATTCATCCATCTACCCTTCAACAAACATTTCTCAAGGGCCTAATATATGCCGCATACTAGGAATGCAGCAATAACCAAGACAGATGGAATGTCTGGCCTCAGGAAGCTCACAGCCCAGCAGGGCCAGGACTACAGTGAAGCAAATGAGACTCTCAGCTTGGGGTGCAAAATTTAAGGGGCCATCAAAAAACTCAGTAATTGTATTTGTCAGTTTGGGCTGCTATAACAAAATATCACAAACAAGGTAACTTAAAAAAATAGAAATTAATTTTCTTGCAGTTCTGGAGGCTGGAAAGTTCAAGTTCAAGGTGCTGGCTGATTCATTGTCTAGTGAGGGCTCTTTTGCTGGCTTGCAGATGGCCTCCTTCTTGCTAGGTCTTCACATGGCCTTCCTTGGTACATGCAGGGCGTGGGGCATAGGAGTTCTCTGATATCTCCTCTTTTAAGGACACTAATGCTCTTGGATTAGGGCCTCATACTTAAGATCTCATTTGACTTTAATTACCACCTATGGGCCCTATCTCATATTGGGGGTTGACGCTTTAACATACGAATGGGAGGGGCATAGTTCAGTCTATAACAGTAAGCAAGATAATATTTTAATGCAATGTTTTGAAAAAGGAAAATTAATGCCAAAAATCCATGATGAGATGCTATCAAGAAAGTGAAAGGCCGACCCTCTTTTCTGGAAGACAATATTTACATATCATACGAATCATATAAGAGACTTGAACTCTTCAGCCACTAAGAAAAATGAAATCATGTCTTTCGGCTCAACAAGGATGGAACTGGAGGTCATTTTCTTAAGCGAAACAAGCCAGACACAGAAAGACAAATATTGCATGTTCTCACTCAGAAGCGGGTGCTAAAAGATGTGTAACATGCACATAGAGACTGGAATGACAGACAATGAGATTCGGAAGAGTCAAGAGTGGGGAGTAAGGATGGATGATGAGACATTAGTTGGTGGTACAGTGTACATTATTTGGGTGGTGGATACTCTTAAAAGCCCTGATTTGACCAC